GTAAGTTTCAAAATTTTGGGGACAATTTGGGCTTGGCTGTATTACTCGTGGTCAAAACTGTGCCAACAGTAGCAACACCCAATCAGAATCCGCTGCGGTTTGTCCTTCGTATTCAGCCGGAATCGCCACCCTCTTGGTAGACAAGATGACTAGCGGAGGGAGGGGGAAGTGGGCCCGAGTTGTGATGAAGGTTACTCGCTCAGCGCCTACCTCTTCCACCGACGATCGTGTTCGGATTACGTGAACCAAGGGTCGTCTTGAATGTTCTATTTCATAGATGTTTTGGCAGATTTTTGAATAATTCATATTGATCCAACTGTGAAAAACTCGGCGCCTCGATGGGATTCGAACCCACGACGGCAAGGGGAGGCTTTAGTACAGCCAACGCTCTAACCATCTGAGCTACGAGTCCCCGCTGGACAACGCGAGTTTAATCACATTTGGGTTAAGTTTACCCGCCCAACTTACTGCAGCGTCTGGTACCACCAAGTCTGATACAGTAAGCTGACTGCCCAATCAGGACTTCCTAAGTAATACATCTAGAATCCGTTCTGTGGAAATTCCCATATTGCAATTGAAGAGTCAGTTGGCGAACATATGTTTTCGGTAATTCATCATCAGGCCGGTACATGTACATGGGTACCCATGTAAATGTACCGGCTTGATGATAAATTACCGAAAACATATGTGAACATAGATCGATTTCGAGTTCAATTCTCGCACATCTAATCGATACGAACCACCAAGCCGACGCCAAAGAAGCCTTTAGAGTTATCTACCGGGCACCGGCACACTACTCTAAAGGCCTGCGCAAACGGGTGCTAGCCACAGCCGAAGCAGTGGCCATTCGACTGGCGAACCCAGCACTCTGTTGTCAGAAGACGTGGACACAAGCAGTCTGTCTGCCCTGGCCGACTCCAGACGGTGATCGCACGCCGTCCTGACGCACTGAGAGCAGTCACACGCACTCACGGCCCTTACAATCTAACCGGAGCCCCTCTACTCCCCCCCCTTCCTACCCCAACTCCACCGTTCTCGACAAGTTGACTCGTCATGTGGGCGACGTGGGAACATGGAGTCCGATTAACCCTTCTCCCGAGGCGCATTTATACCCTGTCGACAATTAGACTGATCATTACCCATTTACATGTACCGGCCTGATGATGAATTATCGAAAACATATGTTCGCCAACTGACGCACCTAGAATCCACCAGATGACTATCAGACTCACCTAATTCATAGATGTTTTGGCAGATTTTGAATAATTAAAAGCTGTGTCAATAGCGACACCCCAGCAGAGCCCGCTGTAGTTTGTTCTTTGCACTCAGCGGAGATCACCACCCTCTGGGTAGACAACGGTGACTAAGGGAGGGGGGTGGGAGTGGGCCCGAGTTGTGGTGAGTGTCACTTGTGCAGCACCGACCTCACTACCTCTTCCACCAACGATCGTGTTCCGATGGCGTGAGCCAAAAGCCGCCCTGGCGTAGTGCTCGTATGTAGCTCCCAAGGGAGGGGAGTGCTGCGCTGCATCAGTCCCTGTGCCCACCTTTATCATCAGTAGGCTTAGCTCGATCTTGCCACAAGTTGACAACGTGTTGTCAAGGTAGTACTGCCAAAACATCGACGCTGTCAGACGAAGACAGTCTTTTATAGCCCCTGTAGGACCAGTTCTGCCGCTAAATCGGAGACTGGAGAGCCCATTGTAGTCCCCTTGATTCACTCATAGGCGGGACTCATAAGTTCCCCAAGCGCGGTTTTATCACGCATTTTTTCACTTGACGGCCATGTGGGGTCACTTGCTCCAGAGTGCATGCTTCACTTCACGTATACGCTCATGATGCTGGAGGGAATGGGGGAGGGGACACGTCACCCTGAGAACGGTCTCACGACTCTACTCATCATCAATGTTGGTTATCGGCTGCACCCTCCCCCGCCTCCGGTCTTCTTGACTCTGTCTTGACACCGGGTCCAGGTGGGAAGTGGGGAAGAGGGAGTGTGGTATATGCTGCGCAAGGCTACTATCACCATAAACTAGTTTGCGCGCAAGTCATCGTGCCTGTGTGTTTGGCGCACGGTGGACGCCGTCGGAATAAACGGTCGAACTGTCGGGTAGAGCTGATGAGCGTCTTGCCGGCCTCCTGTTGTAGTGTGAATGCTACCTTGTCCTTTGCTTAACGTTACGGCAGAGTCAGGTTGCGGTTTGTGACAGTTATATTACTCCTGCCAAACTTTTGCAGGTGGAAACTGTCAATGTCACAGCTTCCGAGGCCGCTCACCGTTAGCGACTGTGTCTCTAGGCCTGTGATGTGGTTTTTGACGCGTTTAATTCATGAAGGCTTCGGCAAGATTAGTAGCCTAGTCTGTAAGACGGGACTGTGCGCCAAGCTCTAACTTCTGATAGGATAAATTCGTCGTTAGTACTTCTGATTTTCGGTCACTTGTAAGTCCCCAACATGTCAGTCCGTTCCCAATAACCTGACAATTCTACCACCGACTGTTCCGC